AATCTTTCAAAACGGATGGTAAGGCAGGAGCCCTTTTCTCATCCCTATCAAATGAGGACTTTTTGCCAAAGCCCCAGTCTAATGTGAAGAGAAGCATACTGAGCAAATTGCCCTGACACACTGGTTGTAGGAATATTTCAGGACCGCAAAGAACACTGTAAAATCTTGATTTGTGAACAAATGAAAGCAACCTCATCAAAACTTTCTTTTAAGAATTGTTGTTTCCTTGATTTTCCACTGTTTCCATCCAATTTCACTCATTTCAAACTCGCGTTTTTACCTGTTTGTGATCAAATGTACACCTTAAAAACAAGGCTGAGTTTAGAAACCAAAGCTACTTATGCTATAATCAAGGGAAAAAAATGAGCAGAGCCAAAGTTAAGAGTTTAATCCAGAGCACTGGATTCTGAAATATAAATGCTCCCCAGATGTCAGTCTGGTGTGCTTTAGTGATACTACGAGATACATTCTGTGTTGAGCACTGTCAGAAAAGTTCCACACGTTTTAGCCTCCAGCTGGAGGGATACACTTAGAAACGTCGACATTTTCTCGACCACGGTTTTGAAATAAATACGAAATGGCACATGGCACAATTTCAACTTGTGAAAACATTTTGTACCAGTGTCAAATTGTTTTTTTTTTGTAAATAAAACATGTGGGCTTTTATCATGTTTGTATTTGCATGCTTATTTTTCCCTTGTAGCTCTTTAATGCTTTAGGCAATATAGCCAATAGTGACAATTTTTCTTTTTGTAATGCTTTCACTTCTTGGTTGGCTTAGAAATTCAAAATATTTGGGTGAACTCAGAAAATAAATAAGTCAATGACAGTGTCTGAATTTAAAGCATTTGCTCAAATCAGCTCAAAGCTTTTTATTGACCAGTTCCACAAATAACAGGATTTTGAGCTTTCCTTGTTGCCTTCCCATCTCTTACAGCTTTTTTGGAGTTCCTTTTCAGTCGGGGTCACCAAAGCAATCTTTAATCTTTTTTTTTCAGTTCTGCTTGTCTTTTCTGAACATCTCCCATAGAGATGAAATAAAGTTACACCTTTAACAAATTAAGACTGAATATATATGTATGTATATATATATATATATATATATATATAATAACATTTCTCAGCGGTTACAATTTGTGCAGTGAATAAGAAAGTCAAAAAGAAAGTCATTGATGTCCTGCAGGCAAAGTAGCACCACCATAGCACAGAGCAGCAAAGCTTATTTCTTTATCTGCTTTTTCTGACAGTTTTTGCTTGGGTTGAGATTAATCAAACACGTTGCTGGGCGCATGGAAACAAAACAAAACAAACAAACAAAAAAAACGCCAGGGCAGTGTAGTATACAGAGTAACAAATTTCCTTTTAACTGTAGGATTCATCATAATGGGGCTTCGTACTGTTATAAAGCTATTGTGGAGCAAGCCCTGCTGTTGCTTTAGGTCAGGCGTGCGGGGTGGGGGGTTACTTTGATCATCAACTTTTACCGTAATTCAAGAGAATAAAATGATTAACTCTGGGGATATTATAAATCCTCTACTTACAGGTCTAAGAAGCTTCTGTCTCATAGGTTTTCTTACTTTTAGGAATTCATTATCCCGCACAAACCGGAATTGGCACAGATTAATGTGATTATCATAATGAACATAGTTGCTGAAATTCCCTCCTTGAAGTCTTTCACATAATAAGAAATAGAGGTATATGTTTGGCCCAACTGGTTCCTCCTCATTACCCCCAAACTAAGCTAATAGAAGCAAATTTTTAAGATATTCTAAAGAGAAACAGTTTACTTTTGAGACTTATAAAGTGCACAACTTACTGAATCCATAGAGAGCAAAACCATTTTTTTTACTATAATCATTGTGACCATTTCACTCTAACCATAAATGACCTAGGTCCACCTAAGGTTTTACCCCTAAATTGTTAGAGACTAAATAAATGGTATTTGTGACATTTATGAATGTATCGTTTCATGTATCTTTGTTTCTCTCATTGTAAAGGATGCTTCTACCATGATCCTGCTAGTCAGCATAATAACTTCTCTCCAGATGTTTTGACTCGTCATGGCAGGAAAGTAGCAGGTGTATTAATGATAACTGCCACTACTTGGGGGTGGTCATGCTGTTTTGCAAACTGGCTCACTGTCAAATGGATCATCATTAATGTTATTAATTCCACTTGTGCTGCGACAAGTCAAAATGTCTGCCATGAATAAGCTATGTTGCAACACAAACACGTGGGTTCTTGCAGCAGCACTTGTGATGAATGTGCACTGTTAAGACTAAACTTAACGGTGCTATTTCTAATTTTTTTTTAAATTATACTTTTGAATTTTTCTTAGTGAGGCTACATAAAAGAAAAACTGAATATTTCTATTCATTTATCAAAATAACTTGTAATTTGTCATCTATTCTTTTTTTTCTTTTTTTCTTTTTACTCTATGTAATTAAAGCAAGGGGAAGCTAGATTTTTTTCAGTCTATTATTTCATTTTGTATCTTCTTTTTTCTGCTTATGATTACTCAATGGTACAAAACAACTCAATTGTTCATCAAGGCCAAAGCACTCTGTGTCTGTTTTTTTTTTTTAAGTAACTACTTCTATGCTATGAAAATTGTGTTAACATCTATCCGCAGACTTTGGCCCCACACCAACTAATATATTATGCATACCTACTCGGTTACAGCTTTAACTCAACTAGAAAGTGAGCGATGCCTTTTTGTAGAGGGGATTGTGTTATTAACTAAGTGTAGCTCATGTGACGATACATCTCATATGTTTTCCTTGGTACTTTGTTGAAGCTTTACAATGAAATCTGATTTTATATAGAATGCTTGTAAGGGCTGAGGTTAAAACATGTGGGAGGTTGCCTGTTAGAAGGTCTGTATTTCAGAAAGCAGCAGGAACAGGACTTACAGTGATATCTTAGCTGCTGGTTGATAATAACGCCTTCCCTTACTTTACATACACTTTTAAATCTGTTTTTGTTGAATCATAGAGAGCTAACAAAAAGAAAAAAATATATATATTCCCAGTATTTTTCTGTTCTGTTTAAGTTTATGTTCTCAGAACATGAACAAGCTACTTTTTGTTCTAGTAAACTTACTTTACTAAACATATTTCAAGCGATTAATGGCTTCCAGGATGAAATGACTACTTGAATAATTGTATTTATCGACCCTTTTTCTTTTCTTTCAAGTAGCTTAAAATTGCTGTTTTATAACTCAGTGCATTAGGATTGCAGAGAGCATGATTTAAGTGTCATTACCCCCTTGAAATGGGAAACAAAGGACAGAGAAACTATCCTGTGCCTTTGACTTTGAGCAATCACCCTGTGTAGCATAGTAGTTTGGGACATTACATAGGAATTTTGAGCACCTCAGCTGTTAAGAGACCATCTGTGTACCCCTGCATAACAGATCAGTGCCACTGAATATTCATGCCCCATTCCTCTCCTTATCACATTAGATTAGAACCCATGTGGCGGGTAACCAAAGGGAGAGGTTGACAGCACTGTTACGTTGTCACATACCCTTATAGCTGTGTGTTAAATGGCACATTTGCCGAGTGGACACTAGGGCGCTGAGTCGGATGTTCTGAGACAAGTTTCCCTTTTTCAGAAATGTTTGAAATTTGCCTGGTGTATTTTGAAGCGTATGCCTTTAACCTTTGCCATAAACAATCTATTTTCACTCAGCTCCTTGCATTTAAAAAACACGAAAATCACATTAGAATCTAGTTTGGATATGTACTTTGGCTGTGTAAAATTTTTGCATATAATTAAAAAAACTGTAACATAAATAATGAAAATGTTACATATCCACTAAAAGCAAAAACTTTAAAGTGTAAGTTGTGATTTTCTTTTTAGTTCCAATGAGGGTTTCTGTGTTTGGACTTGTGTGTGTGTGTGTGTGTGTGTTTGAAAACAGACCTTTAAGATCAGTCGTACTTGAAAATCTTAAAACATTAGATGAAATGCCGATATCGCATTCACTCGAATGAGATCATCCATCATTTTGACAAGAAATTTGCCTCTGTCATTATTGGATTTCTTAGTGATATTATGAATTCAGATTCTTTTTGAAGTGTAAATATCAAAGTCCATCATAAAACCAGCAGTCCCAACAATTGGGAATGTCAGTTTACCCATGTATGAAACATTAACTATCAGGGACAAGTTTGGTGTGAGCAGACACACCTGATTGTGTTATTAAAAAGATGCTTAAATATAGAAGCATGCTTTTTGAGAAAATCCTCCAGTCAGTAGAATCCTTAGGGAAGATGGTGATGGTACTCATTATTGTGCCTGAAAAAACTTAAATATTCCTGTATATTATTCCTGTAAATGCCTATGAAATGACAGCACTTTTCAATAACAGCCACTTTAACTGTAGCATCGCCTAAAATGGATACTAAAAATGAGCAATTCTCCAGTCAAGATGATCCAGGAGGGCTGGGATGTCCAGTAAGCTTCAGTCCGAGGGAGAACTCTGGGATTTGTCATAGATCTCGTCACATGGATGATAAATCTTCCCATTAAGTGGCTGCAATGGCACAATGGTAATTGATGTCAATGCAGTTAAGCTGGAAATATGACACATTTACAGTGCTCGCGCACTGGTCAGCTTTGTTTTATCGCTACTGGGGCTTTGACATGAATGAGGGTCGCTTATGTGCCTCATGATTCCTTAAACAGCTGCCATCCACCGCGTGGCCGACAGTTGTACTCAGCGTGGTTGTCATCGATGTCTAAAGAAAAAAGTTATGAAACAGAACTATATTTCCTTATGCAATGGATTTTCCTCCCATAAAAGATTTCTTGAAGTACCTGCACAGTGGAATGATAACAAGGAGGAAAAATGCAAAGCACACAAACAATACGAACACAGGATTTATTTTTCCTTAATGTTTCCAACTGTGAGTTTAATCTGAATGCAATAAACTGATTTGTTGACATTATCTATTAATATTGCAATGTTCAATGCTCTCCTTCTTCTGCTTTAGGTGCTCGGGAGCTGGTCATCAGATGTCCTTTGAACCACATACAGTGCATCGGGACAAAAAAATGTATACATTTCAACAAGCTCTGCAATGGGGCGAGAGACTGTGCGGATGGATATGATGAAGGAGTTCACTGTCGAGGTATGACTTAATGATGCTTTCATATGCTGTTTCTTTTTGCCTTGGGTTTAAAATGCATAAATTGATGAGAAGAATTCTCATTGTCACTGTAATTAATCAGAGCACACTTCTCTTATTTGGATTTCTAAGACTGTATAATTTATTTTACCCATTAAATAAGCATTACATTGTTGAAATATGTAGCAAAGGAAAATATTTAACTGTGTTTTTTAATCTGCTTTGCATTATTCTTCAGAATTGTATTTATAGATAGGTTTTATAGATAATTACTGTTTAACTTGGGTTTTTGCAAGACTTCATTTCAACCACATGATTTTTTATACTAAAAAGCTCGATTCATGTTTTGCTGATGTGGTTCAGCACTTTTTAACGTTTGTGAAGGTGACTCCTCATCATCTTTGCTGTCAGAATAGAGAGAAGCACAGCGGGACCCTCGCACCAGGTGTTGTCCTGTACACAAGTTTTGGTTGTTGTTCACTTTCCTAGCAAATATATATCAGCCCGCTATGGGCACCTGGCTTTGGTGATAAGGCAAGTTTGTTCTTTGTGACTGCTGCAGTCTTGGCACGACAACAACACCCGTCAGGCAGATATCACAACCTTCTCTGACCTGTAAGACAGTTAAAAGTCATGCTGGGATTTGTCTCTGTGTGAGTCCGAGGTGGAGGGCAGTGGCAGCTCTGAGCGGAAAATCCCACACTTTATAGTTTATACAGTATTTCCTCAGAAACTCAAAGAACTTTAGATATATAATATAATGTTGGGATGAATAATCACAAGCTTTCTAAGGACCACATAGAGTCTTGAGCTTTATAAAATCATCTTTACAACCACAAATGTATAGCTGCAGTCAGATGATCTCTGCTGATGCAAGTTGTTCATAATAAAAATGCAACATTTTCAACAAATCTGAATAATTAGAGACAAAGGAAAAAGAAGCCAAAGGTGAAACTTATTAAATGTCATTGTTTTTATAATGTTTTTTTAATTTAGTTTTTTGTTCTGTTATGCTTCATATGTGTCAGTGCTTTTCCTAAATTCATAACATTAAACCTTATGTATTTTACCTCCCTTTTGCCAAACACTCAAACAGCTTGAAGTAGTTTTATTGATCAAAGTTACAAGATTTCCACATAATAGTATTTGCTTTGTTTCTTGCTAATTTAAACTTCAGGGTAAATTAAGGATAAAGCCATCAAATATGAATGTCTGTTCCTTAAAGCACTCTGAATTGGTTAAATTTTTTGCTTTTATTTTTTTTGGACAGTATCAGGGTCAGAATGTTACATATTCCAAAGCCCACAAAACCAGATATCCAGTTAATAGTGCTACGTATGATATTTTTCTAACCTTAACTGTAGCTATCCGTTAAGAAACGACTGTTTCTGAAAACCTCAGAAATTGTTAAGAGAACAATTAACATTTTTCATAGCAATGATATCAAAATTGTAAATTCTTAAATTTAGCTGTACTTTAACATGTATGGTGAATCACACACATGCCACATGTGTACATTTGTAGTAAAATCATGACCGGTGTGGATAAATGTATGAACCAAGATGAAGAAACTTGTTTTCCACAGCTTTCAGAACATCACTGGGCAGCTCCTGGATTACAGTTATGTGCAGTAGTGTGGAACTAAGGGTGCATGGGTAGTAAAATTCAGGGCTGGTGCCAATACAGATGTTAAAGACTATAATTTGGCTGGTGCCCAAATGCTGACACAAAACGTCTATTATTTATTTCCTCTCTAATGCCAGGGAATCACTGAAATATGCATTAAAAGAAGCAGCTGAACCATTTATAATGATTTTAGCCCTTTCTCAAGCAACCCCTAATCGTGCACAAATTCTCTCATACAAATGTATCAAAGATATAACCGCTCATATAAGAAATATACGTTTGGAAGTGACTTGGCTTAAAATTCCTTCTTAGGCAGCCTCTTTTCCCTCTTCAATCTAAAATTGATAGTTTATTAGGTTTGGACATTGGCCAAGATTCAGGACATAGTCAATGCAACACATCCGGAACACAGTACGTATGACTCACTGATTGGTGTTATCCCGATTGCAGCCAACAAGCTCAAACTGAGAAGTAGTGTGTATTATTTCTGGAACAAAATCTCCACGAGGCTACTGATGATGCAGATTTTCCATTGATGACTAAAAATGATTTTCCATAAATAAAGTATAATGACAAAGCTACTCAGACTGTAGTCTGAATAAATTCCATAAAAAGTCGTAAAAAAGAAAAAACAGTGAGGACTTTGTTAAATAATCTAGATTTTGGAGGTCACAGTAATGCTGACACAGTGGATCGGACCTTTAAGGAGATGGACGTTGAACTTCTGAAGGTGTTATACATTGTCTTGCACCTGACATTCGAAACATACCCTTTGGGTCTTTCAGATTGCAGCGTGACCTCTACTTTTGGTTCATTGCACATAGGCACAACTGCTTTGGGAGTTTGGAAAAATAGTTAATGCCTTTGTTTTGTTTTTTTTTTACATTTCCTCTTCCCACTCTTGAGTGATTTTTGTGGTAAGGCTTCCTTACGTCTTTACCTTTCAAAACAAACATTTGTTCTTCTTCTCTGATGTCATGCCGTGCAAGTCATCTGTTGATGACTGGCATCTCTGCACTTAATACTTTTCATACTTTTCACCAGCTCTGTCTGTTGTTCTGTGTAACAATGTATGACCTGAATACTAAACATCCACCTCTAAATGCAACATTGACGTCAGCTGCTTTAAAAGCTTCCTTGCTTAAAGCAGAAAATGGTGGTAAAGTAAATACATTTCTCCCACTTAAATATGCATTTATAATTCACATGTTCATATTATATATATAATTTTTGTTTTTTTTCTATTTTTTATTATTCATTTACTTTTGTCTACACTGTATTATAGCATGCCTGAGTCTTTTAAAGGCCAGACTTTTTGTTAGTTCACTTAGGGACGAGCACATATACTTAATCTCCTATGGACACACCAAACTCATTGGGGCATGGAAAATTGAGGTCACCAAAGAGAAGTTTTAGGCAACCAGCTGGCTTTCTTAAAAGTTTCTTTTCCTCCCTGTTCTGCCCACCTCTTATGAATATACATGCTGAGCATCCCAAGAGGCTTTGATATGAAGGTGCCCAGATGGAAAACCACCAAACTCTTTTTGTTCACCTTCAGGAAACTCATTCTTAATCACATGCTCATGGCAGCGCTGTGGGAGCTCTGAAGTCTCTGCTTGCACGGAAGAAGACAAATGTCAGTTCTATATAAATACAACTTCAGGCTTCATATAATATCTTCAGGGGAGTCCCAGAAAGTGAACACAAATATATTTATTTCAAAAGACTGTGGTGAAATAAGACAAAAAAAGTTCAAATGGGTTACACAGGCTTGGTCATAAACTTCAAACTTTTGATATCCTGCTCTAACATTTGTCAGGATACAGTATGGAATACCTGAAGTCATTATGTACTAATGCTAGAACTTTTGCTATTATGTTGAACCTCAAGGTTTATTGCAGTAAAAAAAATAATTTATCCTGTTTTTAGGATCACACCGAAAGATTACATAATGTCGCATGTATGTATTCTGCAACAAGTTCGTGCTGGTTGCAAAATGCAAACTGGAACCATGACATACCGAGCAGAAAATATTTAGCCAAGGCTTGGTTAAAACTAAAGTGAGAGTATGTAATTTTGCATCTGAGTTTCATATTATCATGTTATACTGTTTGTAATCCAGAATTTAATGCTGTAATCTGAGATAATGCTGCCTTGTATTTCTTTAATAGTTGTCTAATCTTTTTCAGAAGTGCCAAATTCTGTTATAGGATAAAACTATGATGGCAAAGTAATTATATATCAATATGAATATTTAAGAGCACCAAGTTCTGGAGTTTACTCTTAAAATGGTTTAACGGTATTTGGAATTAGATTATGTCCTCAATTTTTAATAATTGCTTTTTTTCTCAGCATGATCACTCTCCTGATGTGGCATATTAAGTGTGTCCGATTGGACTGATTATGTATATTTTATATTAGTTTACCATCACTTCCATTTTCCATTAATATTTTGTCATTGCACATCATGGAAAAACACATTTTTGTTTGATGCCCTGACAAATCATCAGCATTAGGTTTTTATGTGTCAAAAACACAAGATGTGAAATAATCGTAGCCAGGGCTCAGTCTTCATGGCTTTGTGGTTACAAGCCTGTGCCTGTATGAGATTGTTTTCTTCGCGGTGTGTTTTCATGTAATTTGCTGCACAACAGGCTCCAAGTTAAAGCATGTTACAGGTGATGAAATTAAAAGCAAAACAAAAGGATATGCTGTATATTTCACACATGCACAAAAACGTGGGCCGTTCCAGCTTGTTCAAGCTGTTTCTGGACAGAGATCTCTGATATTATCTCTGGGATCAGGTGGAGGTGTGGTATTTTTGAGTTTTTCAGGTTTGTTCTTTATGTTGCCATCGCCTGGAACTGCTATATTTACCACCAGCTCCTTTTTCTGGAGCTTGTTGACCACCAAAAATGTCCATATCTGCTTAGGAGTCTGGATTTTGGGTCTGAGGTGGGCTCTGTTCTGACAGCTAACTCTGTATCTATAGATATGAATTTGCCATCTATTTTTGGGCCATAGCTGTTCTGAGTATATCAGTATCAGACCATCGTAAATGATTGGGTGAGCGGTTACAGTGTACATGGAAAAGGTGTTGAATGACATGTAGTTCACAACATCTTTCACATCTGGTGACATTTAGAAAACATATTAATAAGTGCTCTGGTGCATTTATCTCAGACTAAGCGCGACCCGCACCATTACATTAATCATTAACAACCTTATTTGGTAATAGCTCATGAGTACTTGACATTTACTGCAGAATCAGCCCATTTGTTGACAGCGAAGCGTGGCACACAGAAAAAAAAGTACACACACATCACAAACAGGTCAATTTGAATATGAGAAGTGGCACACAATGGATATAATACATG